AAACATAGTAAGTGATAATGACACATTACTTGAAAGAGAAATGCAATGTGTGAAGATTGACGAGTGGTATCTGAACCACGACCCAGAAAGGTCGCTTTCTTGTATGAGCCACAAGCCAGTTTATTATGAACACACTCATAAATTTTAATACCTGCAAATTTTTAAACAAGTTTCAAGCTTCCGAATAGATAAAATCACAAAATAGCAGTTTTTATGTAATGCATTATGAAATGTCCTAGATTGGAGGATGTTGTGATGATCGAGTATTGTTTTATCTCAGTTTTTATCAGTTTTATAATCTTTTAGATGGGAATTTTCCATCAGACTGGTGAGTTAACATCCCATACTTATTTCTTACCTCACAATGCCGTGGGACTAGAAAAGTTTTACAATTTTATCAGACAAGAAATGAAGTCGTCAGTAATATAGTCTCAATCGTGCCATTGAACCGAAGATCACAGAATTGTTCATTCGTCCGTATCGGAACGAAATCGTGGAACGAAATGGAGAGACATTTCATTGGCAATCGAACATTTTCTTCCCGGATAACAACGATATCGTTATAACACTAAACATACCTATTTATTAATACCGACTGAAATATCACGTTAACTACAACAGTTGAAATAAAAATAGAAAAATATACTTTGAAGATGATGAAGGCGATAAAACAATGAACATAATAGTCTAAAACCGTAAAAATTAGCTTTTTAATAAACGCAAAGAGTCTCACGTTTGTAATGTAAGATACTTTCTCTCAGTAAACTTTAGAACCTGTTTGCAAATAATAAATGCATTACTGTTTCAGAGTATAGTTGCAGACTCGAGTGCGCTTGAGACTTTAACGTCCGAGTGTAATAACATCTGCAGAACTATCTTTATTAGAGACTAACTGTATCCACTCAAATAACTGATGCTTTCATAGCCTTTTGTTTCTTTTAGCCTTTCGTTTAGAAACTACCGCTTATCTCTTAGTAAAACGTAATGAAACCTCGATATAAATGTGTCAGACAGTTTGTACAGACATGTGCTGTAAGATGTGAGTAAAAAGAGACGCATTAAAACATGCACTCTGTCGGTAGACGAAGTTAATTGCTGATATAATGCACCAAGCGCTGGGAAGGGCACGTCCCCAGTAGGTGCGTCGCTAGCGGCACCGAGGCGCCGAGACATTCATTACTTGAATTGTTCTAATGAACAATAGGTACAACTGAGAATATACCAAGCTAGGTAAACACCGCGACTCGATCGTTACAAAAACTTGCGTCAATTGTAAAGATCATATTACTGATGTTGAGTCAGCTACCCAATATTATTACGTTGTAAAAGACAATGGTGCAGACGCGGCGATGAGGAAACTCATGAATTAATCACTAAACCGAGACATAACAATACATTATAATAGTTAACTGAAAAATCATAAATATTTGATTTGACTTCTGAAGTTAAATCTCAAGGTCTCGGACCGTTAAAGACAGACGCCATCTTGCATTAACGAGCAAAGAACCTGATACACACATACACAACGATTGTAATGTTTACCATGAGAAAATATGCACGAATGAGTTTTATGTGACCGACACGAAGCAAATAATTACAGCATCGAAATTCACATGGTCGAGGAAGGAACAAAGTCAAAACCTTGAGTTGCAAACACTTGTGCAAATAGTTATCGGATCCACCTTATTGGTCAGCAATGACGCAGATGTACATACTCATTGTACGAAAGAGGGAACGGCTCCAATGTGTATAGGTACCATTGTTAAAATCGTCACATTCATACGACGATTGTTTTTAATATAGTTTACACTTCGTCTAACTGTGCATAAAGATATAAAAAGGTTTATTTTTCCTGTAGGTATCTATAGAATTCTTATTAATCACCGAATAAACATTTTATTTCCAGTGTTTGCCACAAAAACAACGCCACTGCTGAACTTTGGTTAGCGTTATTGTTTTTATCGTTTTACTCTGCAAATCTTTGGCGCCTAATTTGGGTGTAGGACGACAGCATTCCATACCATATGGTGGGCCAGCGTTGATTAATGAGTCATTTTAATTCGTCACATCTTGAGGACACAAGCTAACTAATAGTTATTAAAAATACTATAATAACATAGGCTTATTAGTAATAAGCCTCCAAAAATCATCTGTTATTATAGTATTTTTAATAACTATTAGTTAGCTTGTGTCCTCAAGATGCGACGAATTACATTTAAATGACTTGAGGCCTTCCAGTCATTAGATAAGTAAGCAATAACAAAAAAGTAGTTATGCCATAAGTAGGTATGTGTAGAAAGAAACATACAAGCAAGTACTGTTCAGATATTCACAAGGTTCTCTTTGCTTCAGTTACATAAACAAGAGACATTGTATCGTTAGGTAAATAGTTAGCCCGTGTGAATAACAACGAGTTTCGTTTTGAGAAAGTTTTGCAATTATTTTTTCGGTCCCACGAACTTTGATAGCTAGATTACCAAATTAGATATGCTGAAGATGAGCAGTGAATTATTAACACTTTCTTTAAAACCTTAGTAACCTTTCTATCATAGTTGGGTAAAAGGAAAACAATCCATTTTTGTATGTTATGTTTGTATGTCCGATATTATATCATCATACGTGCTGTGCTGTATCTTATCGTCACTAGGTAATTTAGACGGCCTCGCTTGATAAACTTGAAACTCAACAATCGTTCAAAGATTTTCAATTTAATCATAGATATTAAGATTCAATGTTTTCGAAATGAAACGAATTATCTTCTAAATCCAAAGTAGGAGAGCAATCAAAGTTTATAATGTCCGATATCTGTCTAGCTGTCAATCAACTTTCGGATTGTACTGTTCGATTATTTTAATGTTTTCTATGTCGATCGGAATGACGAACCATTTCTTTTTAATTTGTTGAATGGCGCCATTCGGATTTCATCTTTAGACTAGACACTTCCTAGATGCAATTTTTTGTTGCAATCTTTTCCTATCTTCGAAAGAACCTCCTTATTTTTTACCTGTAAGACTAAGCTACAAGCGAATCTGTATCTAATTCTCTTTAGATTTCAATATAACTTCCGTATCGCCTATGCGTCAGAAAATAAATGGAATGTTTCGTCTCGTCTCCTGTTCAATTGTTCATCTTTTGTTTGAAGATCATAGTCAATATCTCTCTTGAGCGTAACATCAGTTGTTATTGAGAAAACAAGTTGTTCAAACATCTGGGTATGCAGCCTTGCGCCTACATCACATATTTTTGTCTCAGTGGCAAGAATACAGGTACTTATCATTAATTTTTTAACTATGCATATTGTTTTTGGACTGTGGGATTAATTCCGTAAGTACAACCACAAAAGAATTATATCCGTTAATGTGACTTGGCAATTGAACTTGTTTTTTCGTTTTATATTTTCCAACCAAATCAAATAAATAAGACGTTAGGTATCACAACGATTTCATTAGAACTGGAGTAGTACAAACAGGAAATTATTCCAAATTACCCACTGGTCACTCAAGGCATGGATAAATAGGCGACTAGTTGCTACATGCCATCGTGTCTGCAGACTAAACTCTCCAAGGAGTTTGCAAAACCCACAAGGAATGTCGTGAACATCCGCTACTTTGGAGGTCTGGCATTTCAAAATGTCGAAGTCATTAATGCTGAGCCTCTAATAAAATGAAAAGGCAAAGACATCTTACTTTAACTGCTCTCATTAAACAGCTCAGAGAATGAAAACAAACATATTGACCTTGGAGAATAAGTCATTGATTAATTTACCTCAATAATATATTGTTCACCTGGTCGTCGCATAATGGAAATGATAATTTAAACATTCTAGTTTAAATCGTGCATAAAATATGTAATGGGAAGAGAAACATTTATGTAACGTAGATGTAACACAGTTTATGCAAATTTTATCGCTTATTTACAATTGTTATTTGCTATAAAACAAGGTAAATAGCATTCATCGTTCAAAACCTATTAAATCTCAGGTAGAACTAGGCATATCGATAACTTATCCGACTTCTCAGAACTTTTGTGGAATCCTACCCACTATCGCTTAACCTAAATCCACTAAGTGCCTCATTAAAATACTAATTAGACGCCGGTGTAGGACAGTTTAGAAGCTGATTGTAAATCAAAACATGTTTCAAGTAAAGGGCTGCAACGATCATAATTTAGAACAACTTTGAAAGAGAAAAAGAAAGTATAAGCGGTTTCTATTGAAGGTACAGCGCCTGTCAGTCATGTCATCAGTGGATCAGTGGCCGATTGTCCATTACGAGAAAGCGGGAGCAATAAGACACTCGGTTGAATAAGCTCAATTTTTGTTAGCTGCATACAGCCGACGTAGATGATGATCAAAACACTTATGCACTAAACTAATTCCAATCTTTAATTGAACACATCACAAGAGCACAATAATAACCACCATGATCAAACTGGTAAAAAGTTCGTTTTGTTTGTCACAACACAAAAAAAAACTTCGATAAAAAGCACCCGGCCAGCGGGACGACATCCGTGGCCCGTCGCACCAAACAAACTTGCCTGTTGAGCTACTTGCCGTGCCGTGCTCAAACAACCGGCCAACCGTTCTTCCATTTCTTTCTATAACCCAAACAAATTAAAAACATGCGCTACACTCTGAACCGACCGGTGTCGAACTATCACCCAACATTGATCACGTAACACGTCGAGGAATACATTCCGCACGTGTGAAGAAAACAGCCATAATACTTCTTATCCTTTCTTTCATTGGCAATATGAAATAGGAAGGGTTACGCTAGAGAGAGATAGATACAACGACTAAAAAGATATTTAATCACGTGCATGAATCAACTAGAGACGTCAAAGTGTTTTGTTGGAATTTTACCTTTACTACTTTACTTTAAGGTTGTTTATCGAACGTAGGTTATAACTGGTGTTTCAAATGGCGCGAAAATTCAAAGAGAACTTATTCGATCAGAAATATTTATTTTTCGAATGTGTTATGAAAGGAATTCAGGACTTACCTTAATGGCGAAGGAGGAACTCTTCGTTGAACGACTTTGTCGTTAGGATTAGTCCAAACATCATTATTATTTATATTTTTAGTTAGTTTCAAGTTTTTATCGGTTTTAGGTCTCAAGGTCGGCGGTAAGATACTGTCGGGAAGCTTCGGTGCCGGTGATTTTGCTGATTTTTTCACAATTTGCAGAATGACATTGGAACTCTTTGCGTCTGCCTTTTTTGCATTCTCTTTGGTGGGCTTAAGTCCACCGGGATCGGGGGTCGTTGGAGTTGCAGGTTTACTCCTGTGTGGTCGTTCAGGTTCGGCAGGTAATTTATCGATTTGCAAACCTGCCGACTTGGTTCGATCTACGGTTCTTTTTAACTTTAACTTATTAGTCGAATCCGCTAACGGTACTAAAAAGAAAATAAAAATCATCTAACATTTCCTTTTTAGACTTATCTTCATTAAACAAGATTTTGATTTATTATTACCTGTCCTAGGCCTGTTTCTAGTTACAGGCTTAGTCTCCGCGCTGCCTATTTTGATAGTTTTCTCGACTGTACTTGAAGACGAAGGCGCTACCGCCTTGCTCCGATAGCTAAAAGTAGTCTTAAAGAAATTAGCCGTGAAGTTCTTGGTACGCGATACGTGGGTCGGTGTTGAGTGTGAATGTCTGTAAAAAATACAAAAAGTAAAAATAAAAAGGATTTTAGTAAGGGGACACCCGGGTTTGAACCGGGGACCTCTCGATCTGCAGTCGAATGCTCTACCACTGAGCTATATCCCCGTTGACAAACATGTCGAAAGTAGCGTACAGTATTGAACATACAGCGCCCTCTACGATAAGGTTTGTGTATTTTTGTATTGACTAGTTCAACATTGTGCTACAAGATGGCGCTAGTAGGTGATTGACAAAAACAGTTCGCAAGCCTGTACATTAGCGATACTGGGGAAGTAATTAGCCCAAATACACGTTGATAAAGTGGTATAAAAACAATGAGATTATGAACTCACTCAAGTTTTATGTTACTAGGCACCCCGGGCGCCTTCTGCTGCATAACCTCCTCGATCTGAAACAACACAGACAATATTCTAAGAAAACATATTATTTAAATAGTTCGCCTATAAAGTAACCCTATCTTACATATGTAACAATCAGACAAAGATAAAAACAATAATAGAGAAGATAATTTAAACAAATACTTGAATTCATGGCATAGATACGCAAAAATGGCACAAATGTTATTGTTCTTTCTAGAAATAATCTATATCTAGGCATAGTTTATGTAGCTAAATAAATATCGAAGATTTTTATCAAAACGCGCACGTAAGAATCGATAACTAAAACTTAATTTTACAAAAAATGAAACAATATGTTCCCAAAATGTCAAAATATATTCCAGTTGGAGACTCACACTTTTCCATTTCTTCATCGCAAACAATATACGTGTGTTGATCCTTAAAATTACTTGCAACTACTGCATATTAATAATATTCTTATCTCTAAACATTTATTATCTAGCAAGATAGTTGATTGATTGGATTACCATTATAAACTTATATTCCCGCGTCCTGTGATAGTTTGAAATCATGCTTCCTTTAATCATTTTAATAAACGAATTATTCACGATCGTTTATTGAGAAAATCTCCGCTTTTTCTTGGAAAACAAATCAAGCAAATTCTTTTGAGAAAGACTGTCAGATATTTAAAAATGTCGAGCTATGCCAAACGATTTTCTTTTTTTATTAGCGGCCAGTATCTGTCATTTTCTTACTGTTTAAAAAGGAGGTTATATTTACATTTTGTGATGTTGAGCCTTCTTTGAGTTATTAACCTTTTTTTAAGGGGTACCTAATTAATTTTGAAATACATTACATTTAATACATTATTTATTTAAACAATAGGACTGCATGCAGACTAAATTATCAATAATGCAGACTTACAGACATTCCTAAAATAGTTGACCGTTTACGCGCTTTAAGCCTGTAATTAATAATTTAAATAAAAGATTAGATAGCTATTCTTTATTGCCCTTATTTTAATAATTACGTAGCTAAGTAGCTACGTATTATGCACCTGCTTTATATTTTTTGGCAGTCTAGGTTTGAGTATGAATTTTTTTACGATTTTCAGGAAAAGAAACTATTATCACCGGCAATTCTGGAAGTTATTGGAGGATGCGTATGTTCATCAATGGACGTTTTATGGCTGATTTGATGATGTAGAAGCAGATCGTGCGAAAAGTCTATTGACATTACTATAATACTGCTATCACCGTTTTTTTTAAGGGGAGAAAATCATCGAATGATTCCTCCCGCCCGGGTGTGGCGGAAGGAAGTGTCAGACTCTTACTGACTAAAAACCACCCCGTTCCTACTACCCGTACTCTCCGTTTATGATAAATATAATAATACTTCCATGTCGATTTCGCCTACAACGACCGTTTCTTGACTACTGGTGGTTATCATGGGCTCTCATGTGGCTGGAAACTCCACCTTTGTTTATAAATATTCTTTCACGAAATGGGCATATGAGATTGATGCATGATAATTAAGCCTTTGACTGCCGACAGAAAACTGCTGAAGGCAAATCCTCCACTAACGTATGCGGCGGTTAACGTGTTAAAAACAAAATTGTAAACTCAATGTTTCCAATATTTAAAAGTTGTATCTGTTGATTCCCACGGCTGACCTCAATGGTGATTTGCAGCCAACACCCAAGCAGGTAATCGTATTGACAATTAGCCTGTCCACAGAACACCTACCTACTTATTATATGACACTACAATTTTCGAGGTGTGCGTGCGAATTTGCAATATGAGTGTGGTGTAATATTATTGTAACTAATGCAAATTTCTGTTTAATATCTATGATTTTGAACTTGGCTTTGGTCCTTAATTGTATTTTACGGTTCAGTCAATTGATTTCTGATTGGCAGTGTTAAGCAGGGAAGGCAAATTACTAAGGAATTTATCTAGTTATTGAATAATTTTAGTTTTTATTGCTATTATGGAGATCAAACGGCAATGCTAGACAACAATATTTTTTATAACCTCATGCCTGTCTCCCATGCGGACAGGCTGATTCTATGGAACGCCATCGCATCATTAGCATGACATCTTTCGCTTCATTAACAGTCATCAGATATTTTATGCATGCTCGTCGGTTAAGGGTACTTCTAATTTGGCGTTAGACAACAATCAGTTTGAATGAATTACTTAGTAAGAAATATACCAGTGGATCTTAAAGCCTTGGGGGGTAGGGAGTGGATGTCTTGTGTCTGATTTGATGATGATAATGATAAAGTGATGAAAAGGGTGTATCGCAACAATTAGGGCTACCAAAATTCCTTCTGTCTCATCTGAATAATTCAAGCAAGCAACAACCTATCATACTGCATTGAAACTGATTTCTAATATTTTTTTCCGACTACCAAACACCAACCTAATCTAAGTAATTTATATGAAGCCTTACTACTTTAGAGGGTTTTCCACCAATCTAGTTAGATATGACGTCATATAAAACATCCGCAGCATCAGACAGACATGAGACATCATACATCTATCTTTGTCTCTCTACTTGTATCTCCTTCCCTCCTTCGATTTACTGCGCAATCTTCTACATTTCGCGCTTCCAAGAACATTAAATTTTTTAGCAGACATCAAGCTACATGAACCAATCTACCGTGACCTCACTTTAAATAATCTTTCTGCACATTCAAGAATAACTTTATACTGGTTCTGCATAGATTGGTGTGTAGTCAGTGTTATTGCAACACGATTAGGTTGTAACGTCAGTTGTCTAGATCGAGATATAAGTAGGACTATAATCGTCACTCAGATATTACATTGACGGAAGGAGATAACATGCTGTTACGTCGGACTAGTTTCTGCTTTTAGGAAAACATGGGTGTTAAATTTTGGAAGTAGGGGGTAATTTTACTAGGATTTAATGGAAGACGTTAGCTATACCGCGTGGAAAGTAGAATAGGATGCATTTGTCAACATCGCTAATTTTCCCACGGCTGTTCTGACAGCCCACAAAAGGACTATTACACATTTGTCGAAGACCGGACGACTACAGTCTTCGATAAAATCTTATGAACTGCGACGTCTAACGAAAAGGATTGGAGCCTCTTACGCTGAGGAGGTCCATATTCCAGTAGTGGACTATTACAGATATAGATTAAAAAGCTGGACAAACAAGTTATTAAAAATAAACTCGAATAAATCGCCTCAAAGTCTATAACTTGCACCAAACGGACTGCAACCTACACTACACCCTTCTGTTTTCGCACAAAAACGTCCTGGCAGTCAATGAACCCTTTCGCAATGATATGATTTCAAGATCAATTAAATTATTAAAGATATACCTTCACACGTGGGTGTTTGATGGACATCTGAAAGAGTCATGTGGGCGATTTGATCAGAGAAGGGACGCTTTTGTTGATACTATAAAACCAGCAAAGATGCTGACCGTTTTGGAAATCTTGGTATTTTTATGCAGTTCTTAATGTATAGAGATAGATAGATAGATTCTTTGATTATGAAGAGATCCCTTAAATCTTTTCGTTTTAGAGCCGATTTTTCAACCATCAGTTAATTAACTGTAGAACAAAAACGACATTTGACAGTTTTTAGTATGGAAGAATCGGGTACTTGCCAATTAGTCAAATTCAATACTTTTTTGGAACTGTCAAAAACAAAAGTTTTCTACGAATTTTGTATGAGATTGTATATATTGACGTCACTATTTTTTAGAGTCAAACTGCATACGTATTCGTTAAAAATTTAAGTACTAAAATTAAGATAGGTAGTCATAAAATCAATAAATGAAAGTGTGGGTATTTTTTTACATTTTATTGTATTGAACAGTCCAAATAATTTATTTTTGATTAAGGCAAGGACCCAATTGTCAAATATTCAAAGTTATTCCGCAGTTAAATTTTCATTTGGCGTTGGATAAATCAGCCCTAATTCAAAGATTTTCGCCTACTGGCTTTCACAGAGCGTTAGATGCTAATTATGATCACTGTTCTTGTCTTTGTGAGATCTACTTTTTGATATTACTTTACATAAGGGAATTAAACTAATAGGCTAGAGAATAAGATTTACTTCGAAGAGATTTTTACACCAAAATATGCACTCGAGTATAATATTACCTACGTACCATTATGAGTCTTGACATTCAGTTTTAGAACTCGTAAAGGAACAACAACACTAATTTCAGCGTAAGTATTTATAGGTTATAGGCAAGCTTTTCATGAAGGGTTTAATTTTTCCAAACCTTTAGCTATGAAGTCAAAGTCAAAGCATTTATTTCAATTAAACCATAATTTGGTACTTTTGAAACGTCAACAAATACAAAATAAATAATAGTCTGTCAGTCAGTCCGTCAGTGACAGTGAAGCTAGGTGAAGCTAGGTCCTCATTACAAAATGTAGATTCAAATGGAGAAGAACAAGCAAGAAACTATATTCGTTGCTCTTTTTAAAAAAGTATGTTCTACAATGTCTCTGATACATATTTCAATGCTGTACGTTAATGACTTTTACTATCGCCACTATTCCACTGAACTCACCTCCAACGTAACTGACAGACAGCAGCCAGTTAAACTGCCTGTCTGTCTACTCCTTGGATAAACTTTAAGCTATGTTTCACTTTAAAAACGAAAAAAAACGGAAGACGTCCATATATCATGAGACACTATAGAACTATACACCACAAGGTCTAACCTTGCTCTAAAACTTTATCTTATCTCAAATGATATAAGTTTACGCAGATTCAACAGTTTAATACACCTGTAAATTTTGATGTTAGGAAATATCTCACATGTATATAATTCTAGCAGAGATCTTATGTAAAACACATGTAGTAACAATACCTGTTGATTATTGTCATCAGTCGGTTACTGACCTATTGCTGAGTAAAGGCCTCTTCTCTCACGGAGAAAGGGTATTAATCTATTAATCACCATGGTTACTTCAGGCCAGAGTGTTTACTCTTGAAACCAATCTCAATGTCAATGCAATAGGGTAGTTTCCTAAATTTTTATTTTAATGTCCGTCTGGTACATTAATTTAAAACTTTAGACACGTATTTTTTCTTTTCTCACAAAATTAAATACTTTCGACGATATATTAATGTGAAATATTGTGACGTCACAGCGTGTCACATTTTGTAGCACGTTGTGACGTAACAACCTCCCACTCCTAAACTTAGCGCCATTTTATCTAAGTATTGCAACTTAATATGAGAAAATAAAAAAGACGTGTCTAATAATTTTTCATTATCTGACTGACGGACTAATTAGATTTTTAATTTTGATACCCTGGAAACTACCCAATTGCATTCCAATGAAAACTCAATATTTACTAAATGTCAAAAGTATACAACCCCTATTGTAGTTATTAAAATAGCAGAAAATAGCATTCAGAGTACGAAATATAAAGCCAAACTCAATACCATTCAGTTCATCAAATACCCACGCAATACGGATGCAATGGGCGCTAGTGTTAAAACTCAAGAGTACGAAATTTCACAATATCAATGTCGATCGATCGGAATTGGATTTAAGAGTAAGCCCACTGATCGTTACCTATCAAGATTTTGTCACACATTATACTAGGCATTTTTATAACCGTGACAAAACTCGGGGCATGTCCCAGAAGATATAAATGTTATAAAGAACATTTATTTG